TTAAAAAAAAAATATTAAAATATGTAGAAAAAATAGTAAAAGAACTTATTATTTATTTAAATGATAACACACTCTGGTAATGAACTAATCGCTCCAGGCTCTTTCAATCAGAGTTCTTATATTGTATTTGTAATGAATTCATTTTAAACTGTTTATTTAAAAAAAAAAAAAAAAAGCCCGCTGACCTTCTTTCGCCGGTTCTTCTCAGTGCAGTTGCTTTCTTTTCCGAACCGGTGGTAGTATTTTGAATATCAATAAGTGAGTGTAATACTCCTATGTTGAATAAAGACATTTCATTTTGAATGCAGTACCTACAAAAAAGAAATTAAATTCTTTTATTCCAGCTTCAACATCAATTCGCTTACTAAATAATAAGCGATCGCGCAGAAAGCGAGTTACAACGGTTTTTAAGTGAAACTATAATTCATTTTAATATGTGAAAGAAAATTACTCAGAAAACATCTTTATTGATCATAGCTCATATTCCGGCTTCTCTGACAGTTATAATTCGTTGTAATGACTTTAATTGCGCGTGGACTTAGCACATCGTATTCATTAACTGACAATTATGTTTAGCGAATAAATTGTATTTATTAAGTGCGATCGTAACAAACATCTTTGACCTCCGTTGGTACTCAACGTACGTTAACGTTCTAATGTGAATTGAGATAAATAATAAAATTGTTAGCAGCGCCATCTATCGGAAAGTTTTTAATTAAAATGATCGCACGTACGACCCTTTGTGGTGAAGATGTTTGAACGTGTATTTTTTAATGTGAAAAGTTGCCAAGTGAGCAGGCAGTTCACCTGATGTTAAATGGCCTGGTTAGCTCCCTCGCCAAACGATACGCTCAAGTTAAATACTTCCAATTCACGCCGGTCTTCTATGAGGCCTTGGTACTTACTTCTCGAGCTGAACCCGCCCGTTGGCTCGAGAAGCTGTTACGTGGCCCTGCCTCAGTTAAAAACATTAAAATACTATAGCCCGGTTTCTGAAACACTAGTCATCGTAGATGTCAACTAATCAGCTGTCAAATGGCTTTTCAAAATTCGTTTTAGTTTCCAAAAGGATGGTTAAACTCACTGAATTGACTAGAATGATCTTCTTAATGACGACAATGATCAATTCAAAAAGTTTAAGCATCCTTTTGGCAACTCAAATGGCCATTTGAAAAGCTATTTGACAGCTGATTAGCTGACATCTACGATGATCAGTTGACATCTACGATGATCAGTGTTTCAGTAACCGGGCGTAAGTCACTCAATTTTTTTTTTTACTTAAAATTCGAATTTGAAACCTGGTTTATAAAAATATCTTGCTGCGGTATGACCACATAATGGCCTCGGTTGTTGAACGAATGAGCAGGCTCGTACCAAGGGTTCATAGGAGACCAGCTTGACTGACTTATAAACCCATTTATATCTAAGAAATTGAACGAAATAATTTTACTTCACGAACACAGGTCCCAACTCAAACCCTAAATTAAGATCATATCGATTCTAATTCGTAACAAAATTCTGTTTTTTATCTTCTGCATATTTAACGGTTTATAATGGTAAATACTTATTACATACGATGAAATTTTACCGTTTGTATGATAACTAATGTCACCTTTAGATTCTTCAATTTCCGCGTCAATATATTTTTAAAAATAGCACGTCTTCTTCAACAATACAAATATTACCAATAAATTGTTTTGAATATCCGGCATTTGTATTATGACCTTATTTGTCTTAATATCACGGTAACACAAAAAAAAAGTTTAGTGCCGTTAAATCGAATTGTTTAGTGAATATTGATTCACTTTGTAAAACACAACTATTTCTTTATTTGAATTTATTTTATTACATTTTATGGTCTTTACGAGCCGACGACCCGAAAATTGACGACAAATGTAAAAATCAAAACACATAATTGTGATAAGCACCTTGTACCTATTTTGTGTCGCAAAACATAAATGCTTCATTTTAAACTCAAGGAAATGTAAAAATCGAATATGTTATCCGATATTTTTTAGTCACTTGGCAACTGTTTGCACAATTTATACCCATATCTTATATCCTAGTGGTATTAATCATTTGATGACGAAATATTATATCAACAGAACGCTATTGGTCTATAACGTTACTCTGAACTTTGAACGCTCAAGTACTCGTGGTCATCCTTTGGACTTTGTTTTTAATTTTAATCTGCATTGTCCTTCACCAATAGCTGGCTTCAATGTCAACAACAGATAAATGCAATGTTGAAATTCAGGAATTGGCACGTTCATATCACAAGAGAGTAGGTTTGTAACCATTCATTAGAGCAATACGATATATTTTTAAGTCGTATTTAAATTCCCTATAAAGTTTTAAACTTAATTTTTTTTCTATCTATTAAAATTTATGTAAATTGTACACTATTCTCTATTGCATATTAGCAATTCGATTATAATTAATAATACCGTAAACAAAGTAACAAAGTAAATTTAATCTTGTCGTGCAAAATAAATTGGCAACATTTCAGAGTCGTTAGCATTAACATTTTAAACACATACTTCTCGTACATTCGTAAGTACTTTAGAATATAATACAAAGACATCACAGGAAATAAACACGACGTATCATTTAATGAACGTCATTATGCGAATTATGATGATCGATTAACGTGTTAAATGTAATTTTTATCGAAATCGGGACATTTTTCTGTTTATGATATTAACATAATCATTCTCACCGCAACATTGTAATGATAACCTTGCAAATATACTCGGCGTTATTAGGTCATACAGATAACATTTTTTTTTTAATTCATGGATAGTGCAATTGTGTAGATCAGTGATTCTCAACCTTTTTTTTGTTGCGGCACATATTAAACGATTTCAAAATTTGGCGGCACACAAAGAAAAAGATAAAAATTATTTACTTACTACAACACACTGCATAAATAGTTTATGATAAAAATTTTAAATATACGAAATAAACTAATGTATATTACAATAATAACTAAACGTTTATTAAGGAAATAATTACAAGCTAATAATAAAAATATTTTTAATTCGAAATTTGAGCTTGATGTTTTTCGATAATTTCATTTATATTTGGTCGTAAAAATGACAATGCTACTCTCATATCGTCTTCTACATTTAACAATCTTGATCTTTTTTTAGTTTTAATGTTGGCTAATGCCAAAAAATAGTTTTCTTTTTAAATGATATAATTTAATAATATTAACATTATTATATATTTGCAAAATTTGACGGCACACTTTTGAAATTTGGCGGCACACAAAAGTGCCGCGGCACAGTGGTTGAGAATCACTGGTGTAGATGTTTAAAGATTTCTAGTTAGCACAAGTTCTTGCTTTTGTCCACGATTACATATTTGTGAACCCGACTGGATAGTACATTAATTTATTTACGAGGTTGAATACTCTAAATTACTATACTTCTTACTAGAAACACGCTTTATATCCTTTTATACGTACACATACGTACACATACGTACACATACGTACACAAATAGGTATTCAGTTATAGAAACGATTCAAGAGCGCGAGTTTCTTGATCAATAAATTGATGACGCGCGAAAAGGTTATCTGGCTCTGGGGTGCGGTTGAACCGCGGAAAGCCAGCGGTCCTTATTTATGATTATATGCAAATAAACACAAATAGAGACCTCATTTACCTACACATGTTCTAACTTTGAATTTAATGCCCCACATTGGTTGTTCATGTTCTATATATCTTTGCTTTTATATTCTTTCTTCCTCATTATTTATGGCAGTTATTAAAATTACGTAACCCATTTTAATTAAAAGCGGCTCTTAAGAAATGTTTTGTAATGGGAGTTAATTTTTAATGTGTTTGTAACAAAAAACTGAAGTGAACAAGTAAATAAAATAATGTAAAGTTCGTCTAACTGTTAAAAAATGTTATTTATCGTTGATTTGAAAATTATATGTCATGATAGTATACTTACCAGGACTTATATGTGGCCATTCGCTAAAGAAGCTAGTTAACAAAAACCCATCGCGTACAACTCTACAGGGTCGATTCAACCGCAAGTAGAATACTGCTATCATGTCTGAGCTGGGGCATCCCAGCTCTTTCATTTGACAGTATCCAACGTTAGAGCTGCTCGAATCGTCAAAGACCAGATATCCTTTAAACACCAAGTTCTTTCCGGCGACGAGATGTTTCCTCTCTTTCCATTTTCCATTTCATCTATCACAGGGAGTGATTTGAAGAACTGCTCGGGTTCAAAGTCAATATCTATTCATATATTCATAGTACAAGTGTTGCTTAGTTGAGAACGTTGTGGTAAAAATGTGTTAAAAAATAATTTTAATATTGAATAATTAATTTGTTGAACGTCATTAGTTCACTAGGCTAGACCTGCCAAGATGAGAACAAGTAAGAATCTCTAAGGTCTTGTTATCTATTTTCGTTTAATTATACAAGTACACAAACTTATTTATACCGTTTAGCTCAGTGGCTAGAGCGTCAGGCCGCGAATGCCGAAGACGTGGGTTCGATTCCCACAGCGGCGACAATCTTTTCGTACTTTTTCTACATGTTTTAAACTTATTTATGTTAAAAACTGCTTCTGAGTTTCAACATCAAACCGCCATTGACACCACCTTCGTGGTTGGCAGTACACTACTTTGCGTTTCTCACGCAAATTTATGTAACGCACAACCAAATTGTGGAATATTGTGTTTCGCTTCCACGTAGGGGTAGGTCCGTCCGGGGAAGTACCACGACTTCACAGAAGACTTCCGTGAAGTGGATGTCTTATACTTCTGCGTTTCTTCTTTGAGTGAGATAGCCGGGGCCCACTTTATTGAAAGGTTACGCGTTTGTAACCCTAAATTAGGTATTGCATATGTCAATGGGCGACGATTACCACTTAGCATCAGAGGAACCGCCAGCTCTTACATAATAAAATAAATGTATATCAAATACGACTATTAAAGTTGTAGAAAGTTATTCATTTGTGATTTTTTTTATTTTTAGGTCACAAGCAAATCCTTCATGGCGTGAACGGCCGCCTCCGGCCCAGGCAACTGATTGCTATAATGGGCCCTTCAGGCGCTGGAAAGTCCACTCTGCTGGACGTCCTCTCAGGATACCGCATCAGCGGTGTCGGCGGTGCTGTCTTCATCAATGGCAGAGGCCGTGTGATGAGTGAGTGACATTTTATTATTAATAGAGAGCGGTAAAAAGTCAATAAATACGATCTAAAAACGTTTCGAGCTGGCGATCCACCTGGTGTGTAGTAATAACCGTCGCCCATAAACATTTGTATCACCTGCAGGATTTCAAATGTGTCATCCAATAATAAATTTGACCCGAGTTACACTACAAATGCAAATCGCAGAAGCGCAATGCATCCACCTCACGTCGGTCCTCAATGCGGGCGTGGTACTTACCTGGCCAGCCCCGGCCGAGCCTGCCCATTTGCGCAACGAGCAAGACTCCGGCGTGTACCTTTTTTTGTATCAGGGGAAAATCTTCAACAGATACCCTGTCATGATATGACAGGTTTTGGTGGGGTTCGTACCCACTAAAACCCCCTCGGTGGCCACCTTCTCCACGTTTGGAGGGGCTCCGGGATCTCCCATGGAACGCACCGGTGTCCCTCAGTACTGCGCGTGAGCACGCTACCCTCGCCGTCTTGCAACACGAGACCACTTCGCGCTGCTGCCAATCCGTGTCCCTTTTTAGTCACCTTTAAGACAGGCAGGGGATACCTTAGCTCTATTCTATGAGCCCGAGACTACAGGGCTGCCCTACGTGTACCTACCACAGTAAAACGTTTACACGCAATTACAGAGAGATTCAAGCGCATGTCGTGCTACATCCAGCAAGACGACAGGCTGCAAGGCCTGCTAACGGTGGGCGAGAATATGGCGCTCGCCGCGGACTTAAAGCTGCCCACTAAACTTGACAAATACGAGAAAGGGGAAGTGGTAAGTGTTTGTATACCACACGGTCCACATATAATTAAACCAACACCTCATTGAGCAGATAGTTATTACACGCACATACACAAGTACAACACAATCACACTGCACGCACACATAATCGACATAACTTGCTTTGAGAGACAATTACGATAAATTTTATACCACCATATTTTGAATTCCATCCCTAGTGGAATTTAAATAGCTGTAATGTGTCGTCTCCGTTGAGTATCGTTGAATGAAAAACTTTGTGAATATTTAATACTAGCACTTGTACATTAAGTATGGTTTCCTTATCATGAGATGGATAATATTTGTTCGGAAAATTAAAACTGTTTTATTTTCACTAGGGCTGAAAGGCCCCCTTCAAACGATACCTTGCTCCTTGGAGGGAAGATGAGCTTTGGTGGGATTTCTACCCTTCTCGATGGATACCCTACGTGCATTCGTTGAAACTCATTCCGTTGTATTTTACGTATAGAGTACTTGCTTTAAAAAGGATATTATATATTTCAAAATTATTTTTTGATAGGCATACTTTTTAATCGATATTTTTAGATCGAGGACATCCTCACGAACCTTGGTCTATACGAGCACATGAGTACTAAGGCTGCACAATTGTCCGGTGGGCAGAGGAAGCGTCTTTCCATAGCGCTGGAGCTGATAAACAATCCCCTCATCATGTTCCTCGACGAACCCACCACGTGAGTTTTTTCTGACTTACGAACCGGTCACACGTAAGATTTCTCTAGGCGAATCGAAGAGCATCGGAACCAGCTAGTTAGAAGTCAAAATAGTAACAAACAAGACGATTTACTTACGAGTATGTTTAGCGGTAACTACATAGACGAAAAGCCAGAGGTTACGTGACTTATCCAATTCATCGGATGAAATAAAGTAAAGAAACTTCACCACAAATTTTACACACCACCAGGTGTCGTTGTATCTTCGAAATACATTTTATTGTTATATCAAACGGTGATACTTTAACGGTGGTAGGGCCACGCAGCAGCCTCGGCTGTTGCACGAATTGGCAGGCCCGTCAGGGTAAGTACCACGACCTCACAGAAGACCAGCGTAAAGTGGAAATATGACAAATACTTTCGCGTTTCGTCTGGTGAGTGAGGTGAGGTGGCCGGAGCCCAATTTTCAAGAGGTTGTCAACGCATCTGTAACCCTCGGGTGTGCCAGATGTTCATGGGCGGCCGTATTCATTTAACATGAGGTGAACCGTGTGCTCGTTTGACAACTTTTCGCATAAAATAAAAAAAATAAAAATCAATATCAAAAATATGCAGGCTTTATCACGATTTTTTCCTTCACCGCTTATCGCGTAATAATTCAGCACTTTTTGTAATTGCACAATTGTAATCTAAACTTTCATTGGTTCCGGTTTTTATTTATTTATTATTTTTAATCCCGGTCCAGGGATTTGGACTCTGGTTGCTCAAATATTTTGAATTAAAAGTGAGCGCCGGGACATTGCTATTGGTAAAAGTATTATTACGTAAATCATCGAATGACAAACAAACTATCAGTGCCAATAGTATTGAACTTAACGCCGATCTTCTGTGAATTCGTACTAGTCATCCATTCTTGGAAGCAGTTACTATGAAATAGTTGAAGTAGCGGCTTGGCTTCATACAAACGGAATTTTGAGTAAACATTCATTATTAAATAATATTTGGTAGAAAACTGTGACTTGTGTTCGGGAAGATTAGAAGGACATGTATATGTGTGTAAAGAGAAAAAGGTGTTACAATAAACAATTGGGTATAAATCACAAGTTGAAAACATTTACCTATATGCTAAAAGTATAAACAACTTTAATTTACATTCACCATCCATTATTTACTTAAATTCAATAGAACCCACCCATAAAAATATTCTAGAAAATATGAATATAAATTGTGTAGTAAAAAATTGTCTTTTAAAAGTACTTGGACGGTTGTTAGTTGTGACGACTCAAAATTCTGATTTTATGCTAAATCTAATTCAAGCCCTAAATCCTAATGTTTCCCTCTCCTTCTACAAATACATAACGTATTTTCTACAGATTGCGTACAGACAGCAAGACAGCGAAGTCTTAGTAATAGGGCCCCGTTTTACCCTTTGGGTACGGAACTCGTAAAATTACCGTTTAATTGCGGATCCTTAATATGTATGTATTCAATAAGTGTGTGCCTTATATTAAAGTGTATGAGTTATCAAGTTATTGATAGTAACCGATAGTAAGTTATATGTAACCGATAGTAAGTTAATGTAAGTTATATGTAAGTTATATGTATGATAGTAAGTTATATGTAACCGATCCATTTCATTATTTAAATACATTTAGTATTCAAGTATAAGACAATAGTAGTGATGTGCGTTAATCTTTCTTGCTTCTTGTGTCTTCAAAACCATCTGCAACACAACGGATGTTGCATACATCCATGAGCGGCGGTTATAACTTAACATCAGGTGAATCATCTGGTCCATTGCGACCATCTCACATAAAATACCTAGCTCCCGCTATCCATCCGCAGCGGCCTGGACAGTTCCTCGTGCACGCAAGTTGTGCAGCTGTGCCGCAGCCTCGCCCACCAGGGGCGCACCATAGTGTGCACGGTGCACCAGCCGTCCGCCTCGCTGTTCGCGCTGTTCGACCAGGTGTACGTGCTGGCGGCGGGCAGCTGCCTCTATCAGGGCACCACGCGGAACCTGGTCCCCTATTTGGAGCAGGCGGGGATACCGTGCCCCGTTTACCACAACCCGGCAGACTACGGTGAGTAATTTTTACTTTTTAAGTGTACTTTAACACTTCTTACTCTGTGTATTCTTTAAAGAATATCTTTCGATGGTCTTTAACACTTTATTACTCTGCGTATTCTTTAAAGAATATCTTTCGGTGGTAGAAATCGTCAGGTAAGGAAAAAGCGTTATGTATCTCTATTTATGACACAGCTAGTTAGGGAGGGGTGAAATACTAGCGCCGGGCTAGTTGATTCCATTTAATAATTAATTGCAACTATATGATAATTACTATCATTTTTATTGCATTGCCTCTTACTGTAGGACAACATTATGCTTTGTTGGGGACGTTTTACTTACATAAATTTCACGTGGACAAACACCTAGTTATCTCATGTGGGAATCGAACCTACGATCAACTGAGCTAGCGACTTAGCAACTGAGCGACGGAGTCGTCATATAATTTGTTTCAAAGTTTTCTATTTGGCCATCCTCAAGCACTGTCAATTCCTTTCACTGTGTGTTATTTAATGTAATATAAATCGGAAGAAAATCGTTCCAGCCGTTTCCTACGGCACCTCTCGTATTTTACATAAATCCTCGATGTTAAGTAACTACTGTTACTCTTTGACATCCATAAAACTGGTGATTCCCTGAATAGACAGAGCCTCTGTTACCGCATTCACTCGTGAATAAGTGTAAACATCCTACAACTACTCTACGTTGACAGTTGAATCACCAATATTACCAATGCGACAGCATATTTGTTTTGATGCGCGCATTAGGAACAGAATTAAATTTCAAATTTCTGTATACCGTTCAGACATCTCAACAAACACACTAAAACACGCAAATATTTTATATTTATATTATTCCCAATTCTTTATTGAAAAGTCATTTTTCGACGGCTAAAACACAGACAGATATTGCTAATGCAATGCATATATGTCACGGCTGGGCTAAAGGCTCTTAGCCTTCGTAGTCTAGTATATTGGAAATATTTTTTTTTTATTATTTCTTAGACACGCATGGGTCTTCATATTGTTTTCCTTCACCACCGGACAAAAAAATTCTGATAAATCAACAATTACAAATAACCTTAATATCATTATAAGATTTAACATATTTCAGGAGATATTTTAACGCAAATCAATTATTGCAAACAAACATAAACAGATTTTTCTTTTGCAAATAAACAAGTTTATATTAGCAGTTTTCTGTAATCGAACCCACACTCTCTGGCTTAAGAGACTAACAATCCTACGACATTATATTTTAAACTGACCCAAATATCTTGTGTTATTTCTATATATAATTATATAAATAACACAAGATAATTATGTTTATAGTAAATAGCATAACGATAATAAACTACAATAACAAAAAACTTCATCGTCAATGATCTCTCGACCTATGATATTTTGACTCGTTCACAAAACACCCATTGTTGTAGCTAAAGAAACGTTGGACTTCAAAATGCAAACGAGGATAAGATAGGAATGAGTAAACTGAGAAAATTTGTACACGGTAATTTATGATCGACAGTTTTTTTTTGTTGGTAAAACAATACATGGTAACTATTTTACTAATTTTATAGCGTTTTATTTTTTTATTGAACTGTCGAGTTTTCGAACACTTAACTGTGTTGATGACTATTCAATCTCGAGACTATAAATTTATAATTTATATTTTACGAGATAAAATCCGTAAATAGATTATTTGACCATGAATAGTATTCGCCTAAGTGCTACAATATAACGAGTATGTAAAGAAATGCTGGAAAGATATTGTCGAAATTGCAAATATCTTACATGGTATTGTCTGATTGGCGGTTCCTAAATACACATATATTACCTAGTATACATCCTACATAGCCAACTTCCGCAACTGAAACAATATATTGAGAATCAAAACAATAAATATAATAATATAATAAATGTTTTAAGATTTTAATAAATTATTGCTTAAAACATTTTAAATTAAATTGGTAATTTTTTTATATCGTATTTTTTTGTAAAACTTCAGGACGTTTCGAATATTCAAGGGTATTCAGTTTAACGCGATAAATAATCTGTAATCTTTTCCTTTCTATCGGGTAGTAGGTTCAACCTTAAGTTGGCGTAAGGCGAACATTAACCTTCTTTTTTAGAAATACATTGCCCTTACTGAAGGATAACATTATCAGGTGTTGAAAAGACGTAAAGACATAAATTTCACGTGGACAAACACCCAGGTCTGAAACAATTTTCTGTGGGTCACACAAACAGTCGCAACTTGTGGAAATCGAACCCACGAACCCCGTCATAGCCGACTTGGCAACTGCGCCACGGAGTCATCAATCTCCTTGTTTTCAATCTACTTCAAAAAAGGAGGTTTTTCTCAATTCGACTGTAATTTTTTTTATCTCTATTACCTCAGAACTTTCGAATGAATGTATCGATTTTGATGATTCTTTTTTTATTTGAAAGCTGGCGCTTCCCATGTGGTCCCATATAATTTCATTGGTATTGGATCTCAGGCTCCGGAGATACTCTTGAAAATCAATTATAAATAAAATATATATAATAGACTTGTTTTTTAAATGTTTCTAGACACAGGACCTCTATCAAACTTGAAGTCTTCTTCGTTCACATCTCCTTGCGATAACCATGATCAGTATGATTCACATGTCGTGCCGACCCCATCTAAGTGGTGAAAGGGCAGGAGAAAGAAGAGTTGTATGCATGCATACGTTCGATTAAAGGAATCTAAACCTTATTCTACTTAGCAACACCCACATTTCAGTAATCGAATTGGCGTGCGGCGAGTACGGCGACGACAAGATCGGCTACTTGGCTACCAAAGCCGAGAACGGCAAGGAGCTGGCCTGGTTCGACGACGCCGAGACGATCCCCTCCATGGAGGCGCTGAGGAAGCAGTACCCCTTGAGCGTCCTGAAGGAACAGGACGCTGGACCCGGAGAGGAGGAGACGCCTCAGTCGAACCAGAGATCCGTACTGATAAAAAGGGGTTTCCTAAAAGCGAAACGCGACGCCGTGAGTATTCATCTAGACTGGTGCTATAAAGAAGTTTGTCACTAACGGGTCGTCTTTATATAAACCGGTCTTGAACTGGTGCTATAAAGAAGTTTGTCACTAATGCTTAGTCTTTGTATAAACCGGTCTTGAACTGGTGCTATAAAGAAGTTTGTCACTAACGGGTAGTCTTTGTATAAACCGGTCTTGAACTGGTGCTATAAAGAAGTTTGTCACTAACGGGTAGTCTTTATATAAACCGGTCTTGAACTGGTGCTATAAAGAAGTTTGTCACTAATGCTTAGTCTTTGTATAAACCGGTCTTGAACTGGTGCTATAAAGAAGTTTGTCACTAACGGGTAGTCTTTGTATAAACCGGTCTTGAACTGGTGCTATAAAGAAGTTTGTCACTAACGGGTAGTCTTTATATAAACCGGTCTTGAACTGGTGCTATAAAAAAGTTTGTCACTAACGGGAAGTCTTTGTATAAACCGGTCTTGAACTGGTGCTATAAAGAAGTTTGTCACTAACGGGTAGTCTTTGTATAAACCGGTCTTGAACTGGTGCTATGAAATAAAGAAGTTTGTCACTAACGGGTAGTCTTTGTATAAACCGGTCTTGAACTGGTGCTATAAAGAAGTTTGTCACTAACGGGTAGTCTTTGTATAAACCGGTCTTGAACTGGTGCTATAAAGAAGTTTGTCACTAACGGGTAGTCTTTGTATAAACCGGTCTTGAACTGGTGCTATAAAGAAGTTTGTCACTAACGGGTAGTCTTTGTATAAACCGGTCTTGAACTGGTGCTATAAAGAAGTTTGTCACTAACGGGTAGTCGGGTATAGTCTGGTGCTATTGTATAAACCGGTCTTGAACTGGTGCTATAAAGAAGTTTGTCACTAACGGGTAGTCTTTGTATAAACCGGTCTTGAACTGGTGCTATAAAGAAGTTTGTCACTAACGGGTAGTCTTTGTATAAACCGGTCTTGAACTGGTGCTATAAAGAAGTTTGTCACTAACGGGTAGTCTTTGTATAAACCGGTCTTGAACTGGTGCTATAAAGAAGTTTGTCACTAACGGGTAGTCTTTGTATAAACCGGTCTTGAACTGGTGCTATAAAGAAGTTGTCACTAACGGGTAGTCTTTGTATAAACCGGTCTTGAACTGGTGCTATAAAGAAGTTTGTCACTAACGGGTAGTCTTTGTATAAACCGGTCTTGAACTGGTGCTATAAAGAAGTTTGTCACTAACGGGTCGTCTTTATATAAACCGGTCCTTAAAACGTAAAAAAGTAAGCTAACAGCTTATACACGAACCACTGCTGTGCAAAGGCCTCCTCTATACCAACCTCTACCCCACTGCCGATTGGGGGACTTCAGATATATTTTTGGAAAATACGCAGGTTTTCTCACGATGTTTTCCTTAAAATTAACAATTTCATTGGTCCCGGAAAGCGTGCGCCCGGACAATGAGCTATCACGACTCTTGTGTGTTCCAAATATTCATTATATATATATTTTTTTTTTCCGAAAATTGCGCAACGGAGTCATCAACATATTTATTAAGTACTAGCTTTTCGCCCGCGGCTACGCTCGCGTAGAGGCCCTTAAATATATATCTTTCAACCCTTTCATCACTTCTTTCCAATTCAAAATAGCCTATGTCCTTTCTCGGTCTCTAGACTATCTGTGTACCAAATTTCATTTAAATCTTTTCAGTAGTTTTAGAGTGAAAGCGAGACAGACAGACAGACAGACAGAGTTACTTTCGCATTCATAATATTAGTATGGATTTTTATTATTACTTTCAGACCATGACGCACTTGAGGCTCGTCGTGAACGTCGTCGTGGGCATCATGTTGGGCAGCCTGTTCATAAAGGCGGGAAACGAGGGCTCCCGGGTGACGGAGAACTACAACCTGCTTTTCGCAATACTCATGCACCACATGATGTCGCCAATGATGCTGACCATCCTCACGTGTAAGTGAATTCGCTTTGAACGGATCGACTAACAGAAAGAAAAAGAAAGATAGAAAGAAAGAAAGCATTTTTTATGTGAAAAGTTTCCAAACGAGCAGACGGTTCATCATCATCATGATCATCATTTCAGCCTGTTTGAGTCCACTGCTGAACATAGGCCTCCCCCACAGACTGCCATGAAGTACGATCCTGAGCCACCTGCATCCATCGACTTTCCGCACATTTGCACAGGTTCACGGTTCACTTGATGTTAAATTCATACCGCTGCCCATGGACATCTGCTACACCCGTGGGTTTGCAGATGCGTTGACAACCTTCTTGTAAATTGGGCTCCGGCCACCTCACTCACCAGACGAAACGCGAAAGTATTATACTTCCACTTTACGCCGGTCTTCTGTGAGGTCGGGGTACTTACCCGGACGAGCCTGCCCATTAGTGCAACAGCCGAGGCTGCTGCGTGGCCCTGCCACCGCTGAAATACATTACATTAACATTTTTTGCACAAACGCGCCACATGTACATTTAAACCGCAAACATAAAAAATACGTAGTAAAAAGAAAAGAAAAAATTAAATACATGATAACATAATAATACGGAATAACATAATAATGGCCACGCAACAGTCTGTTGCACGAATGGCGGTTATCATTTAACATCATGTGAACCGCCAGCTAGTATGACAGCTTCTCACATAAAAACGAAATATACGAAGCAAAGTCGAAACTAGTGCGTTCTATTTAAACTCGAGGTTGAAAACAAGCCAGAATCTACGTGATCGTGATTTTGTTTTAAGTCTTGAGGCAAATACTTCTTGTGTAAAATGCAATTAGAAAAATATATGTTATTTCACTCTTCCTCTAAAACTTGCGAAACTTTAACTAGTCGCTTAAAGCGTTTGAACCCTTTCTGTATTTGTAAACTATTTTCTCTTTTAGTCCCTTCGGAGATGTCGATACTGATAAAGGAGCATTTCAACCGGTGGTACTCACTGGGATCCTACTACATATCCATAACTTTGGTGGACCTGCCGATCTCTGTAAGTAGAGAGTAATAAAAAAAATATGAAACTATACATTTATTTCTGATACATATATTACATTGTACTTTTAAATTTCAGCGGTATATCAAAAATACTAAAAAATATACAACTTCATCGATGTACTAGCTAATATGTAATCGCCAATAGTGTGAAAAAATACTCCATTGATATATTTCAAATAAAAATAAGAGATTTCAAATAAAAAATAGTAAGGGTAACCAAAAAGAGAGCCGAAGTAAGGTGCGAAATAGGCTCACTTCAAAACGAACCTATAAAATTAACAGATTCAATACAATCTTTACTGACGACATGGATTTTTGATTTATACAGAGCACTTTTGACCCGAATAGCGTAGTGGGTAGTGTACCTGCCTCCTGTGCCAGAGGGTGTGGGTTCGATCCCCACTACTGGGAAAATATCGTGTGATGAACATAATGTTCTTGTAGTGGGTGTGATATATGTATATTATATATTTATTAACAAATAAAAAAGAAAAGTATGTTTAACTGTGTTTATCAGTTATCTAGTACCCCCAGGTCAAGCGTTGCTTAGTTTGGGACTAGAGAACGTTGTGTAAAAACGTGTCCTAAAATATTTATTTATTCATTAATTATTATCATTCATTTGAACGATTTTACGGTGGTAAAGTAGAAGTGTTAAATTTCTTTGTTTCGTCTGGTGAGTGAGGTGGCCGGAGCCCAATTTTAAGCGTTTTCTTTGTAGCGGATGTCCATGGGCGTCGGTATTCACTTAACATCAGGTGAACCGTCCGCTCGCTCGGCAACTATTCACAAAAAAAAATATGGGCTGCGCTTATCACGTAACATCAGGTGAACCGTCAGCTCGTTTGCCATTTTCCCTCATTAACCCCCCAACCCCCCCCCCCCCCCCCCCCCCCCCCCCCCCCCCCCCCCCCAAACTTCCAGATAGTCTCGTGCTTCGTGTTCAGCGTGATCGTGTACACGATGTCCTCGCAGCCGCTGGACATGGTCCGCTTCCTCATGTTCTTCTCCATCTCCCTCTACACGGTGCTCGTCGCGCAGAGCTTCGGCCTCATGATCGGCGCCGTCTTCAACGTGGTCGTGAGTGATGTTTACGTTCCGTTTGTTCCGGCACCTTCTATATTGTGAAGGGGAAAGTTTGCATGTACGGATGGATGTTTGTTACTCTTTCGCGCAAACACTACTGGACTCTAAGGAAACTTTACAATAAAATAGCTTATATGTCAGAATGAGACATGGGCTATAATTTATACACATATGTTTATGACGACCCGAATGGCGTTGTGGGTAGTGTACCTGCCTCCTGCGCCAGAGGGTGTGGGTTCGATCCCCACTACTGGAAAAATATTGTGTGATGAACATAGTGTTTTTCTAGTGGCTGGGTGTTTATATATCTATAATATGTATTTATTTACAAAAGAAAAGTATGTTTAAGTATGTTTATCAGTTTTCTAGTGCCCATAGTACAAGCGTCGATTGGCAGACTTCATATAAAAAGTATGTAGACTGTTAGTCTATTTATGTCCCACTGCTGGGAAACTGCCTCCACCGTATATAGTCTCAGGGTGAAGCACGCGATTGCTCGATGCTATTATTTTGCACACAAGGAATTCAAAAACAGAACGCTCATTGGTAAATCCCGCTGGGATTTGAAGCCGTGTCTTTAACAACACGACCAACTTAGCGGTCATGCTTCAGTTTCAGCGAACAACATTGCTAGTAAGTGTATACCACTTGAAAAGTTTTTAACATATTTCTTTTACTTAAATAACAAGTGCGTACAGTTTTCGCACGGCATATCGCTGCCCCATACTTCTGCCAGTATCTGACTTGGGACACAAAACTACGAAAGTTAATTTTTCTATAATAAAGTCTTGCTAAACCCAGGCATGTTTCGCTGTGGCTTTATATTTATGTTTCCATTGTAACTTCTTAATAAAAAATATACAAGAACACTGCCGTTCAATATCTATTTTGTGAACAAATTTGACGTTCACATTGAGTTTGTGAAATTGTGGACACAAACATTCTGAACAAATGTGACGTCTACATTCAGTTTGTGGAATTGTGGACACAGACATTCGAAACCTAATCCATACTAATATTATAAACGCGAAAGTAACTCTGTCCGTCCGCTTTCACGCCAAAACTACGGAACCGATTTGAATGAAATTTAGTACACACATAGTGTAGAGCCTGAGAAAGGACATAGGCAATTTTTTATTGAAAAATTCTTTAAAGAAAGACATTTATTTAAGGGCCCCAACGCGAAGCCGCGGGCGAAAAGCGAGTCTTTTATACGCAAAGAAGATTAAACAGAACCGATTTCTTTTCAAGAACGGCACCTTCCTGGGCCCGACCATCTCCGTTCCGATGATGATGTTCGCCGGTTTCGGCGTGACCCTGCGCGACCTGCCGCCTTACTTGTACTGGGGCTCTTACGTGTCCTACCTCCGCTACGGGCTGGAGGGCCTCATCGGCGCCATCTACGGCCTCGACAGGCCACGGCTGGACTGCAACCAGAAACTCTACTGCCACTACAGGTGACATATACATTCATTAAATTTGTCGAAACTCTGCCACTAAAGGGGACGTATTCATTTAAATTTCTCGAAACTACTGACACTACAGCTGACATGTTCATCAATTTAATTTCTCTAAATTACTGACACTATAGGTGATACATTCATTTATTCAAATTTCTCGGAACTACTGCCACTACAGGTAACACATTCATTCATTCAAATTTTTTATAGCAAAGTTAACAAACGAGTAGGTGATTCACATGTGCCTGACAGATTGACAGATGACAATGTTTCCAACATTAAAATACTTGACCCCGGTCACCTAAAACAGATTGACAGATCATACATCTCTACTGAGCTGATAACAATGTTTCCTAAAAATTGACCCCGGATACGTACAACAGATTGACCGATCATACATCTATTTATGACTAATGACAATTTTCCTAAAAAATTTTTCCTTGACCGAATACATCTCTTTTGAATTGACAAAGTTTAGGTGATTACCACTAATGTGCCGATCATACATCTCTCTTTGAATGATTAATTGAAAATCCTATTGACCCCGGTCACCTAAAACAGATTGACAGATCATACATCTCTACTGAGCTGATAACAATGTTTCCTAAAAATTGACCCCGGATACGTACAACAGATTGACCGATCATACATCTATTTATGACTAATGACAATTTTCCTAAAAAATTGACCTCCGTTACCTGAAACAGATTGACCGATCATACATCTCTTTTGAATTGATGACAAAGTTTCCTATTGACCCCCGGTCACCTAAAACAGATTGACAGATCATACATCTCTACTGAGCTGATAACAATGTTTCCTAAAAATTGACCCCGGATACGTACAACAGATTGACCGATCATACATCTATTTATGACTAATGACAATTTTCCTAAAAAATTGACCTCCGTTACCTGAAACAGATTGACCGATCATACATCTCTTTTGAATTGATGACAAAGTTTCCTATTGACCCCGGTCACCTAAAACAGATTGACAGATCATACATCTCTACTGAGCTGATAACAATGTTTCCTAAAAATTGACCCCGGATACGTACAACAGATTGACCGATCATACATCTATTTATGACTAATGACAATTTTCCTAAAAAATTGACCTCCGTTACCTGCAACAGATTGACCGATCATACATCTCTTTTGACCTGATGACAATGTATCCCAAAAATTGACCCCCGTTCACGTAAAACGGATTGACCGATCGTACATCTCTTTTGATCGTCCCTTTTCTCTTTCCCGCGTCAGATATCCGCACACGTTCCTGGAGGAGGTCGCTATGTCGCCTGACATGTATTGGTGGGACGTTCTCGCTCTCAGCGTGTTCGTCCTGGTCTTGAGGGTCGCCGCGTTCCTCCTGCTCAAATGGAAACTCAACGCTGTGCGATAGGGGCTTAGTAAATTTTAAAAAAAAAAATATTCCGAGCCTAGTTATTAGCACCGTTCGATTGTTTCAATTTAGCGCAAACTCAACGTCCTTTGTTCTTGGGATGGAAGTTAAAACTAGTCTTGCGATCCCATTGCTTGGACATATTAGCTGTTCAGTAACCAGTCATACTGTTATCAAGTGCAAAAATTTTGTCGTAGTTTTGATGACGCAGCTTATAACTATAGTGTCATACTAAAGTATGATAGTATCATACTAAAATCTAATAGTATATAGTGTCATAACATAGAAAAATGATTATATTATAAGGCTTAGGTAAATTACTATAAAAGTGCTATATAGGGTTGGATAACTATTTATCTTAACTATCGCAGTAGTGTCCTACTCTTCCGTCATGTCAATGAAAGTACTTTTTGGAAATGTTAGTTCTGAATTGTAACCTGTATATAGAACTGTTGACATTCAATTTGCACAAATCCAGACTTATTCAATTTTTTTTCTGTGACCATGAACAATTTCTGTCAGTTTATACGAACGGTGAAATATATATTATTTAAGTACGCATTTCATCATGCAAAAACTACCTAAATATGCCAAGACATGATATAAAAAAAATGTCTAAAACATTTGTGATTTGAAGCCATTCAATACCAAAGATGTAACATTTGAAATTTTCGGTTTTCGTTTGTGAATTCTCTTATAATTTTAATTGAAAAACATTTTCGAGCTTTATAATTAATATAATATAATGATTTACGAAACATAATTTCGCAATGGGGCACAATTAAGCACGTGTCTCGTCTTAGGAATAGTTTTATAAAAATGAGCACGTATAATCAGAACTATAACTTTATGTGACGTTTTGTAATTCATTTGGCAATGAATACTTAGATAAGGTAATCGATAAAGATTTTGAATGAATTTAATATTAAGACGAAAATGTAATAAGGGTCCAAATACTGTGATACATTGAAAAGGCGTTTGTAAGAATAAGTCGATTCTGTAGTGATAAGTTCTTGCCCACAATTGGACTAATTTAAGATTTTTCTAGAATGTCTTACTGTACGTCTTGGAAAAAAACGTATGAAAAAATTAAGTAATAAAAGTAAGTACAAAAACACAAACTTTGCCCATTTTTTAAATGAATCTAAGCCGGTTTCTTGCACCTGACTTTTGGTGAATATTTTATATGAAGACTGTTTGGTCCTGAATATATACAAATGAAAATATATAGCGTCTTCCAAATGTTTTGTTTGGTGTTCGAAATGGCAACACGCTTTCGATTACTTGATTATTAAAAGAGTATTGCCATTTCATTCGAAATCGTTGTGAGCGACTGTAAAAGTCAGTACAGTCGCAAACAGCATTGTCATTCAATGTTAGAAACATTTATATATGTTTGCACTCGACGGTACATGCCAACTCAACTGAGTCGCATTTAAGTTTTAGACTTTTCTTTTCAATAATGTAATTTCTTGAATAAAATTGTGCCATTCGTTGTTACTCAGGATGGATTTGAATTACATATTATTTGCTCAAAATTTGTATTTATTTTAAGAGACATTAGATGGTACCTAGTTTGCATACTATTAAATATTTAATGTTTTTCTTATTGTATGAGATTTAATGTAGTATTTTATGGTGTTTATAGTTTTTCAAATAGAGAAATGTAATAAATGTGTTTTAAATCAAAATGATTCCTTTTATTTCGTCGCACTCATAACTTTTTATTATTTAACAAGTTTAATAGTTCCATAATACGAGCATAGTTGAACAACACAAAAATCCTAATGGAGTAAAGATTAAATGTTACAAGAGTTATAAAATCCGTGAAACTAAACTTGATAAAAATACAGAAAGACAATATATTTATATTCTGACTGTGTTATTATCAAATAATCATCCAATAATTATTACGGAGAAAAGGATAAAAAGGATAATTATAAAATCGAAAATAGTAAAACAAGTTAAATTAAGCAACAGCCTGTATAGTTACCACTGTTGTAAAAAGTCCCCCCACGTTAGAACGTTCGATTATCAGTTCCTCGAGCAATGCGGCTTAGCCATTGTCCCTTCATCTTGCGGGTCCGGGAAGCTATATACAGCTATATAGTCTGTTCTACAGATTGTCTACTGTTTTTTTTTATTCATGTGAGAAGGTGTCAATCGAGCTTGGTTCACCTGATGTTAAGTGATAACCGCCGCCCATGGACATTTGGAATACGCGTAGGATGGCAGATACGTTGCTACCTTTTAATAAAGTGCGCCCCCGCTACCTCTCATCAGACGAAACGCAGAAGTATAACACTTCCACCTCACGCCGATCTTCTGTGAGGTCGTGGTACTTCCCGGGATGGGCCTGCCAGTTGGTGCAACAGCGTACTGTTGCGTGGTCCTACCACACTTAAGTGGTAAACTAGTGTGAAAAGTCGCCAAGCGGGCGGGCAGTTCACCTGATGTTAAATGAATACCGCCGCCCATGGACATCTGCTACACTCGAGGGTTCCAGATGTGTTGACAACCTTTTGGAAATTGGGCTCCGGCCACCTCACTCACCAGACGAAACGCGAAAGTATTATACTTCCACTTTACTTCGGTCTTCTGTCAGGTCGTGGTACTTACCTGGACGAGCCTGCCCGTTCGTGCAACAGCCGAGGCTGCTGCGTGGCCCTACCACCGATTTCTTGTATATATGCAAACACAATCTACGGATTACGTATAACTATTTTCTGTTCTAGTTTCTATGTCCCATGCGCAATGAATCTCTAAATTGTTTCAATAGTGGTAAATTAAAATCAAAATTAAATGTCATAATATAGATACAATAATTTTATTTGACAGTTCTTACAATATCATAGTTATAATCTGTGACAGTAATTTGACTTTAACTTATACAAAACTAAAGCAATTAGATCTAATTATTTTAAAAAGGTGATTGGAACAGAGAAACCTACTCTGAATGTGATACAAAATCAAGACAGTGGATCCAGCACGTAAAAAACCTGAAGAACGAGAACTACGTCATATAAAATGGAAATATATTACCGATTTCATTTTTATTCCATTTTAACTTTTCTTTAACAGAAAAATTTGGTAAACGAGCCGACCTCTTAAGTTTAAGCTTTTAAACTCACTTTCAAAGATTGTTGCTGGGTTACCTCACCAGATGAAATGCAAAAGCGAAAATACTTGCAATTCACGCCTATCTCCGTTTATATCACATTTCTATACCTATACCTTTTGTCTCCACGTGCAATAACAGAAGCTGCCGCGTACTCCTCCCACAATACTCGTCTAGGAAACTAATAACCGCATTTATTATATTATAAACAAGCATAAAGACGCGTTATTTTATGCGTACTTTTATTTCACCTGCGGCCCCCAAAACAAGTCAATTATAAACCACTGGATAAAGTAAAAGAACATGCATTCTACAATGACCATCAGAGCGAGTAACGCCAATTTGAATTCGTCGAACATTTTGAACACCGCATATACTACTTCTCCGTTGAGTAAACTTATGCCGCATCTGTAAGCACAATCACAAATATGGAATTGGTTATAGGAAAACTTAAACTCTCAAGTTTTCTTAATCTAACGGAATCGTATAACTGTAGTCCTCAAGCGACCGTTTGGACCAATGACAGTCAACCATCATGCTTCGCGGAAAATGATTATCGAATTTTGTTGCATATATAGATACCAGACATTGCTCCTACAGACATTCACTTGCCCCGGCCATGGCAAAAATGGGATAATTTCTTAGATGGCTTCAAAAGACGAGGAATTTCTTTTAACGCTGAATCCATGTAGAAATTATATAAAGTCATAGCTAATGGCAGACAGTACTGAATTAGGCTTTTTTATATATATATATCTCATTAGTAAATATCATTGCATATTTGAAATTTGAAAACAAGACTCCTTAATCCAGTTTTACGTTATTTCCAATATCCATTTACACCAGTAACCGTGATAGCTGTGTTCGATCCCCGGTGCCAGCACAAATGAAATTGTTAATTTTAAATCCTGACTTTATCGCGTGCTCAACGGTGAAGGAAAACATCGTGAGAAACCCTGCACATTTTCGATACAATAAATAAGAATAAAAAAAATCATTTTGAAGACATGTGAAGTTCGCCAATTCGCAGTGGGGCCGCGTGGTGGACTATGCCCTGATACCCTCTGTAAAAAGAGGAGGCCTTTGCCCAGCAATGGGATATGTATAGGCTGTTACATTACTACTTACACCAGCATGTACGTGCTCATAAAGGCCAGTAGGAGGCAAAGGCCAGGTAAAAGACTGCGAGGCCTCCTCCGCGGCACCAGAAGGAGATCCAATACCATTATCAGCATTGAAACGGTGTGCAGAGAATGCTGAACCCAGTTGGGCAGATACGCGAAAATCCTCGGTGGCGCTATAAGGCTCACGTCTTTGTGCCAGATGCGCCAGAAAATGAAGTCAGCGAACTGTAAGCAGAAAAGAAATTTTAACATACGCAAACCACGGTTCGATTTAATGCTGAAAAAAGTTTTGTGCCTGTTATAAGCTGACGGAGATTAATACGCCGGCAAAGTGCTGTTGCGAAAGCAATGTGAACCGTCTGGGATACAAAGGTCGACAATAATCAATTGTTTTTCTCTTTGCCCTTCAAAGTCATAACGTCGGTACAACATTCGATAACCGCCGCGCAAACATGTGGTTCCCGGTTAGATAACCGGTGCCCACACTAAGATTGACAATGCACCTACAACACGTATTTTTTAATTTAGATTAAAATCTGTCATATATGGAATGGCTTTAAACAAAAAGATTTATCGAATATTGAATATGCCTTGTTTTTTCGTAATTCGTATAAAAGGAAGAGTAAAAAACTAATTCTTAAAAACGGAAAATTTAGAAATGGATTGGTCATAAAAAGGATCACTGATAAACTCCAAAAATACGCATAATTTAAGATTATTATATGTTACTAGGTTAGTGTTGAAATTGTTTATTCTAAAATTCATTATCATTGCCAATTAAACGAGCAATTCTTGTTTATATATATATATATATATGTATATAAACAAGAATTTATATATATATATATATATATATATATGTATATATATATATATATATATGTATATATATATATATATATATATATATATAAATAAAAAGAAGAACAAATATAAAAAGGAGAGGTGTGAGAAAGGTGTAAGAAATATAAAAAGGTCAGACACGCCTATAAGTCAATCAAGAAAAATCAATACTGAGATGAAAATGGCTGAAGCAATTTAACGAAGAACACGCCTTTGTCTGATCACTGCATAACAAAATGCATACAACAACGCACATTTTGATGAACGCATGCGATTTTAATAAATATGAAAATGAATAAATATGAGTACAGGCACACATCTTTATTATATATATATATATATATATATATATATATATATATATATATATATACACATATAATCGGAATCTCGGAAAGGGCTCCAGCGATTTTCATGAAATTTAGTATGTGCGTAGATTCGGGGGCGAAAAATCTATCTAGCTAGGTTTAATTTTTAGAAAAGTCCTTTTATCCCTGTTTTCAGTTTGTTTTTTCCCTTTTTTTTAACTTCTTTCTTTTGTGTATTTGTTTGTTCATATTTTCTTATTATTATTACGTCGGTAAGATCTAAAAATATTATGCATATTTCATTACTCAGTAATTTGTATCTAAATGTAATTTCAAAAATACACGATTACCAAAAAACAACAAAACCGAGTGTTGGCGCTGGCAACACTGTATACCGGTTATGACGTTATCTACTCGAGCCAAGGGACACATGGTCGCATGGAGGAGTGGTCACTTGGATTTCGGCTGCGTTCCCGGACGGTGATATAACCACTAGCGCTGCTGTCGTAATAATAGTTGTTAATATTCAAGTTCAGTAATACTTAAAATGTTAGGATCAAGGTAAAAACGTTAGAACTCTTATATCAGAAGTGGGATTCATTCACTCGCATTTGGCTGTTCAAACAATCGGCGACATATTTTCTCCTTTTGTACCTACCCTCGTAAAATTAAACAGTGTGTTTTATACTTACTATACGTAATGGTGAGAAATCTTTTGGTTAAATGTAACGAAACTTTTGGTGAGTACCTTCCAGTTAATTAATTACTTATCATATTTGAGAAAATGTAAAATAGCGATACACTACTGGTTTACCCGGTTAAGCTACCGAGCATTAAGTTGTTGGAAAATTTAAGGCTTGAACGTGGCGCGATATGCATCCCAGTTGTGAGGGATAAGCCACAGGATAAGTGTTTTGAACGTGGCGATATACATCCCAGTTGTGAGGGATAAGCCACAGGATAAGTGTTTTGAACGTGGCGATATGCATCCCAGTTGAGGGATAAGCCACAGAGTAAGGTGTTCTGAACGTGGCGATATTCATCCTAGTTGAGGGAGATAAGTCACAGGGTAAGGTGTTAATTTTATGAAGGTTACTTGTACCAGACTACAACGCCCTTCGAGGACGAAGGCGTGATGCAGGACGGCCGAATGTTGGCGCTGGCAACACTGTATACCGGTTATGACGTTATCTACTCGAGCCAAGGGACACATGGTCGCATGGAGGAGTGGTCACTTGGATTTCGGCTGCGTTCCCGGACGGTGATATAACCACTAGCGCTGCTGTCGTTATAATAGTTGTTAATATTCAAGTTCAGTAATACTTAAAATGTTAGGATCAAGGTAAAAACGTTAGAACTCTTATATCAGAAGTGGGATTCATTCACTCGCATTTGGCTGTTCAAACAATCGGCGACATATTTTCTCCTTTTGTACCTACCCTCGTAAAATTAAACAGTGTGTTTTATACTTACTATACGTAATGGTGAGAAATCTTTTGGTTAAATGTAACGAAACTTTTGGTGAGTACCTTCCAGTTAATTAATTACTTATCATATTTGAGAAAATGTAAAATAGCGATACACTACTGGTTTACCCGGTTAAGCTACCGAGCATTAAGTTGCTGGAAAATTTAAGGCTTGAACGTGGCGCGATATGCATCCCAGTTGTGAGGGATAAGCCACAGGATAAGTGTTTTGAACGTGGCGATATACATCCCAGTTGTGAGGGATAAGCCACAGGATAAGTGTTTTGAACGTGGCGATATGCATCCCAGTTGAGGGATAAGCCACAGAGTAAGGTGTTCTGAACGTGGCGATATTCATCCTAGTTGAGGGAGATAAGTCACAGGGTAAGGTGTTAATTTTATGAAGGTTACTTGTACCAGACTACAACGCCCTTCGAGGACGAAGGCGTGATGCAGGACGGCCGAATGTTGGCGCTGGCAACACTGTATACCGGTTATGACGTTATCTACTCGAGCCAAGGGACACATGGTCGCATGGAGGAGTGGTCACTTGGATTTCGGCTGCGTTCCCGGACGGTGATATAACCACTAGCGCTGCTGTCGTTATAATAGTTGATAATATTCAAGTTCAGTAATACTTAAAATGTTAGGATCAAGGTAAAAACGTTAGAACTCTTATACGAGCAAAGCTCGGCCCCCCAGGTACTTTCTGTTTATCTGTCATATTGGACATTGAAGTGTAGGACGACCCCCACTAGATGGAGTGCCGACTTGTGCAAGTAAGCGGTAAGTTGATCGATGCAGGTGGCTCAAGATCGTGCTTCATGGGGGAGGCCTATGTTCAGCAGTGGACTCATACAGGCTGAAATGATGATGATGTTAATTATCTGAAGTACATTTCATTTCACTTGGGGTTTAGGGAAACTCATGTAGTTAATGGCTTATATATTTATGATGCCAGTTTTACTGTACCGACGTTCTTGCGAAATCGTCTGTTGACGTAATTTAAAATTGTTAGGGCTAAACGAAGAGCGTAGAGCATGTCCAAACAATGGAACCACAAGAAAAAGTCAAAGAGATTAGCATGACCCCTTGCACAGACCGAATAGTCAAAAGTTGTTCGCAGCTCACAGAGGAGATGACTTAAGGTTCTTAATCTTAAGTTAGCTTGTCTGTGACGAGCGCCTGAGTTAGTTGAACGGGTTCGAATGATCAAAGCTATCGTTGAGATTCCTAACGACATAACGACTATACTCAAAGTTGCACTGAGGACTGGTTCTTTTGAAGGTATATAGAATATTGCTTGAGACGGCGTACCGATGGTGGAGCGACCAGAACTTGTGTTCGCCGACATGGTGTCACATCGTCACATACTACATTTGGGTAATTGTACGTGCCATAAACTGGTCGCGAGACTTGTAATGAATATTATATTTGGCCACACGCTGAATACCGAATAGCAGAATATAAGAAGTATTGGACTTTATCTACGTGACTGTTTCTCGCTCGTCTTCACAAGCTTCCGTTTAACTTGCAATGCTTAGTAATTTATACATAAAATCTTTGCAAGCAAAAATAAATCTATGAAAATGAAACAGGATTAAAATATGCGAAGAGAAAATTAAATGCTCCTAAAGTTCAAACCAGCCATATAAGAGAAATATCTCGTGCATAAGAGAGCCCTCCGCCAAAAAAACGCTGTGCAAAAACAAAACCAGATGATTTCCTTATGTCACCGTTCCGGACTTACGATAATGTGATTCAAATGCCATAAGACGTTTTTCATAATGAATATCATACCAACGTGATAGGGAATAGTATGCCGGTCATCAAAGAGTCTTTTATCCGTCGCAAAGTGGCCACTCGTCGCGAATTCCACTGGCCGCAACGCTCTTTCCAATCGCAGTATATGCAGACGGGAAAGTAAGCGAGGGTAAGCATCTGAAAATTGAAGGGACTTTCATTAACAGTAGTCCAATGTACAACCGCTCGATTCGTCGACCAATCCCAAATGACGAACCGTTTGTCGTAGTGGATAGTGAGCCTGTCTCTTTCGCTAGACGGTGTGGGTTCGATCCCCACTACTGGAAAGATATTGTGTGACGAACATAGTATCTTTCTAGAGTCTGGGCGTTTATATATCAATATAATACGTATTTTATTAATATATATTATTATTTATATTAATATTTACAAAACAAAAACACGTTTAAGTAAGTGTATCAGTTGCCTATTCATAGTACAAAGCTTTTCTTAGTTTGGGACTTGATAATGTTGTGTAAATATATGTCCCGAAACCTTTATTTATTTAACCCAGGAAATGCGTATGTCTCAAACTTCACATCACGGGATCGAATTGGGCTTATCTGAAGGTTACACGAAAATTTATTCAAAAACGGTCCAGCCATTTAAGAGTCCGTAGTATAGGTAGGGAATGTACATAGACCCACCACCCACATATATCCGCTCCCACTACTCACATTGGAGCGATCAAGTTTCAAACACATTTTCTTTTATCAGTTATCATTTTAATAATCTCTTGATCTATAATCTGCATAATGTCCTCGTCTAATTCGTTATTTTTATTAAATATTTAAAGATTAAATAATTGTACGTAACGCTGAAAGTTATCTTTAGATAGACATTATACTGACGCGATACATAATGTAATAGTAAAGTAAAGTAACAATTTATAATGTCCCACTCCTGAGTAAAGGCCTTCTCTATACAAAGGGTATCGGGGCATATTCCACCGCTGTGGATTGGCGGATTTCACATATCTTCGAATAATTTATTGTTATCATTTTTAAAAAATTCAGGCTTCATCACGATGTTTCCTTCACCGCTGAGCACGTGATAAGCTAAGTGCTAGCTAGATTAACAATTTCATAGGTGCCGGCACCGGGGATCTAACTCATACTGCTCGAGTAAATTGAATTAAAGGTGAACGATATGACACTGAGCAGTCACGACTATAAGCACGAATATAAGCCTACGTGTAATATTTGATCTTTCAAAGTTTTAAACCAATTTCCAAATTTCCTTTTGCAGTCAGCTTTCACCGCCATATAACATATTCACAAATGCCGTAGTATTTCACATGTTTCACATGTTATGTTTCACAAATTCTTTATTAACAGAGCCCATTAACTGATAAAGGAGGCAACGTATCTATAACTCTTCTGGTGAGGCAAGTATCTCAGTAGCGGTGATCCCTTGCCAAAAAGAAAATAAAAACCGCCCATGTGCAAGTCGGACTCGCGCACGAAGGGTTCCTAATTAATATTATTGATATTATTATCATGGCTCAACAGGAGTCTCTTGAGGGGAGCGCATTTGGCTAGACCGTGTGTCGTTGGCTAGACCCACGAAGAGGAGGTCAAAAAAAACCATAGTCGCGCCAGGTTCGCGGAAGATTTCGTCTACGTGTTCCCGTGTCCCTGGCCGATGTGACCTGGATGTGACCTACACGAATCGGCAAGCTCGTCCAGGTAAGTACGACTGACCTCACAGAAGACCGGCGTAAAGTGGAAGTATGACAAATACTTTCGCGTTTCGTCTGGTGAGTGAGGTAGCCGGAGCCCAATTTTCAAAAGGCTGTCAACGCATCGGCAACACTCGGGTGTAGTAGATGTCCATGGACGGCGGTATTCAATTAACACCAGGTGAACCGCCTTGCTCGCTTGGCAACTTTCACATAAAAAATAAGAATCAAGACGTCATTTTTGTTATCTTAACAGTATTTAACATATTGCAACTCAGAGAATGTAACGCAACTTACATTTGTCTACACGGGAAAAGCTGGAGAAGTTTCTATTGTATGATTTAAAAGTAAACATTCAACATAACATTACAGGAGATGTATTGATAGTATATTAAAGTTTGTACAAAAAAGAATTTATAGTTTTTTTTAATAGTCGATCCTTGAAATGCAATTTCATAAATCGCACTCCTAGTGCACTTTAACGTCCATAATCTTTTACATCTTTCGCATACAAATTATTGACATAATATATGCTTCGTCTTTTTCCCTTAATCGAGAAATACATAATTATGTACAAGATGAACCGATGACTGCGTAATGGTCACTGATGAAAAGTTACGATGCCTTTCTTGGGCGTAATTTAAATGTTTTTTTTCATAGAATACATTCGGGTACCCACATCACCCAGTCAATAACATTATTTACTGGCAGTAAGAAAAAACGGCTACAGTATATATTGCACATAAAAATTTTAATGGAAAGATTAAAAGTTGTTGAAAAATGGTCAAATCCTCGCAGGGGCGAACAGCTCTCCGTCCATTCTGTTACGAATTTAAAATTTCATCTTACAGTAAAGAAAGATCAAAATTAATATAATTTAAAATGGGGGTATAACAATAAAATTATGAAATAAACTTGTGTGTAATCTATTCGTTGTAGTAGTTGTACGACGTCTAGAAGTCAACTGAGTGTTTTCAATGAACAATAGTGTGTGTGAAAACTCGCATGTATGAAATGCAAAAACTAAGATAAAGACCTTATCACCACAAAAAATATCGATTAGTGAACAATAAACTTAGACACCGAGCATTTCCCGAATCGCTGTCTATCTTAAGACAAGAAAACAAAAAATACTTACATGGTGATAAGCAACGAAATTGATGTTTTGAGTGGATTTTATAAGTGTTTTTTTTAATAATACCTTTATTGACATTCTGCTCATGCCTTAATATGCTACGAGGTCACTTTTTAATTTGACATGTCTTTGTCATATGTGTCAACCTGTGTCTCTATCAGTTTTAATTTAACTCGTTTATGTCAATAAAAGACTATTGCGGCTCTGCGTATTCGTGGTTTGCAGTATTTAGACGTTGACGAGGTCATCTCAAAGACAACGCACATGAAAAGTCTGCACTTGGCCATCGACTGCGGTCACAGAATCACAGAATCCAACGCTGAGACGTACGACAACTGGTTGAAAATGACGAAAAAACATTAATAAGTGTCAGCTCATTTTCCGTGCGCTCGATTATAATACAATATACTCAAGCAACCTGAGTTCGATACTTGGTACCGGTACCAATGAAATTGTTAATTTTGTGTACTGGCTTATCACGTGCTCAACGGTGGGGGAAAATATGAAATTAACAACAAAAAATGTATATCTCGAACATATGTTAATTCCGCCGAAAAAAAGCCAAAAGGCAGTTAGACAAATCGGAGCACCAGCAATTTTTTTTTCTCGGACAATCACTTCAACAAAAAAAAAACAACTATATTAAATTATTAAAAAAAAAACTATAATTACAGTGTCACTTGTAAACCAAAGGACTGAGTATTGTTATGTAAACGAATGCTTGTCCAGAGCGTTAGAAAAAGTTCGTGAAAAGCGTTCTCGCAACAATGTCGTTCTTTACTTTCGATGACGCATCTTCTTCACATTCCAATTACTAATTTATTCAATTATTAAGCACATTGTATGTTGTGTTTATAAGTAGGAATAACGAGGGATGACTATATTTTAAAAATTAACTTTGTATTAATACCCTTAATAATTTTCAAAGAACAGAAACAATAAACTAAACGTTTGTCCTGAGCTAGATTATTTATTTAAAACAATACCGTGTAATTTTCTAAGGTATAGCTAAACTTATATGGCACGTTAATAAATAGCATAAATTTTAGATCAAAAAACATTAGAAATGATAACTTGGCGGCGCAGTTGGCCATTGGCTTGGGCGCCGGGGGTCGTGTTTTCGATTCCCAGACGGTACAAATATTTCTACCAAGATTTGACGATAAGCAGGCGACCGGTGGTATAAAACCTAGCCAATACCATTAACAACTTGCTTCACACGTTGTGCCGACTCCACTTAGATAGGATGAAGGTAGGATGAATGTCTCGGGCTCATAGAATAGGGCTAAGGTATCGCCTTTCGTTGAAAGCGACTAAAAGGGGAGAAAGAGTGCGAAGTGATCTCGACCTGCTGCAAGATGGTGAGGGAATCGGGGAAGGTCTATCCTTCTTCGAGGCGTGCTCACGCGCAGTACCGAGGGTCACCGGTGCGTTCCGTAGGAGATGCCGGAGTACCTCCAAACGTACAGAAGGTAGTACAAAAGGTGGCCACCGAGAGGGTTTTAGAGGGTAAGAACCTATATAACCCTGATACATGACAGGTTTATATATGAAAAAATGAGAAGAATAAGTGAAGTGTTATTTAGAAAATAGCTCCTTTGGTTTAAATTAGTTAACATCGAAGTTATTTTTCAGCGTTAAAAGTCGTTGGAAACAGGTTCAGTTGCAGCTTGCTAAATTTTCAACATGAAAGTTTTGTGTTTCTGTTTTATTCTATAAATATCATACGTTTTATAAACGCAACATCTAAAGATTTCCCAAATTAAATTGAACACACAAAATAGAATTTTTCCGCGTTCCCTTTGACATTTTCTCAATAAGCAATGAGACAAAGTTAACTGCTCTTTGAACTTACATTGAACCAGCACGTTAGCAGTTTCCATCTGATGTTTATGTAGGCGCTCACGCTGGGGTCCTTGTCGTTCGACATGTCTATGGAGAGGGACACAATGGCCGTGAAGGCCAAATGGGCGAACCCCACGCTGTAAAACCATAGACGCGCTTTCAGCAACCCATCGCTGCTGGGCAGCGCCATACCTTCAAGCGGTTTCTGCATTACAATCGGTGTTCGCGCGGGAAAGTATTTTCCGTTCGAAATTCGAATCGAGCCCATCACTAGAGCTGCGCGGCTGCCCTCTCGCGCCGACTGCGCGGTAATGACTGTTCGCCCTAATCTCATGGAGTTGGACGCTACTGCAACAACAGATAATTGAATATCATTACTTTATACAGTCGCACGAAACATTATTACCTATTTCTTTACCCTATCTATACAGATAAATAAAATTGGATTGTCTGTTTGTAATATTAAAACAACCGCTTTTTACTAAATGCATATGGATGTATACACGGTACATATACGTTTTTTACACTTTTTGTCTGCCCGTTTGTTCCGGCTAATCTCTGAAACCGCTGGACCGATTTAGACCGGACTTTCACTGGCATATAGCTGATGTAATAAGAAGTAACTTAGGCTACTTATATTTTAGATTCTTTTTATTTTAATTTCCACGCGGACGAAATCGCGGGCACAGCTAGTCATCAATAAAAGTCCGTTCCATTCCATTGACATTCAGCCAGTGATAAGTCGACGTTTATGCATTTATTTATTTTTCATGCAAAAAATAACGCACAAAGGTGTAAATATATTTTATGAGGCCGTGGTCCTCGAAGTGTGGTCCGAACTATTTTTGCTTTAAAATATAGGCTTATAACATAAAGTTTAAAATATCTTCCAAATATATTGTTCTTATTAATGGTAGCCTTAGAAAACAAAGCCGTGAGTATCGTATGCAGTACATATTTATCACTAGTTACTGCATCCAAAAGGGCATCCAAGGCTCAACGCGATCTGCGTGCGTAATGAGTGTTGTCACACCAAATTTTATCCGATGTACAAATAAAGGACAATTCAATCACGCGATACGATTTAAATATATGAATTGTATAATGATAACAAAGGATTTCAAACTAGCTTGTATTAGTGATATCCATTTGTTGCCATGGATCGTCAAACTTGGTTATTTGATTATCACCAGCCAGCAGCACAAAACTTTTCACCATCTTGCCGCTGATGGAAAACTTTGAACGCTGTTAAACCATACGAGAATGCAACACCAAATCTTACAAAGTTATATGTCTATCAAATAAGAGAAAATGGAAAGTGTACATTTTGAAAGACCGGCCAAGTGCGAGTCGGACTCGCGCACGAAGGGTTCCGTACAATTATCTATAATAAACTAATTGGTACCTATAGGTTGCCTAGCACCGGCCTCGCGTTTGTTTTATGGGAGCCCAATTAAATATTTCCTTATTTCGTTCTGTTTTTTAATATTTGTTGTTACAGCGGCAACAGAATACATCATCTGTGAAAATTTGAACTGTCTAACTATCACGGTTCATGAGATACAGCTTGGTGACAGACCGACAGACAGAGACGGAGTCTTAGTCCCGTTTTACGCTTTGAGCATGGAACCCTAAAAGTTTAAACGAATATATTTTGAAAAATAAGAAACGCAGATCCTTTTACACCGTGTCCGAATCACCTTACTAAAAATGTTATCGTTTGCCGGCTTAACAATGACATTTATAAAGCGGAAATTGGCTCAGGTTTATGTTAGCAAAAGCAATAAGGGTGTTCGTAACATGGCTATACATAGTACTTACCGATAAAACAAGGTGTCTTGGCATTGGTACTATTATAAAGGCAAAAATTTTCGAACTTTTCCTCGTAGCGGCCCAAAAGAAATAATTTCAAAATAAGATCTCATAATTGGCATTGCAATATATTGTCACTCCTTTAACGAATGTGGAGTCTCGAATGCTTCCAGCTTTCTTCCACTGACTTTCCTGGCCTCTTAACAGCCTGGATAAGAGGGGATTTCGTTCCAGAAGAAGGGCTATTGAGGTGGCCAGCGCAGACAAGGAAACTCGTGTGTGTGAAAGCATTCACGTAGCGTTATCGCCACCCTGGCTTGAAAGGGGAGAGGGGAGGGGGGTTTAGCCAGCTCGAGCCCGTCAGTACTTGCCCTTTGTTATTCCCCTGAAGTTGGATATGATAAAAGGATTGCTCAGGAAACAGAGCTCGGCGCAATCCTTTTTAACAAGACATCCCCAGCCGAACCTCGACGTTTTAGCCACTGCATAATATGTATCATCATCGTCATCCCGTATCAGCCCACTGCTGAGCATAGGCGTGACTTGCGTCATATTGCGTAATATGTATACCCATTTTTATTATCCCGTCCACCTTGCAGGATAGATATAGCTGTGTCCGATTTATTTTTGTTTACCTGACAGTAAAAAAAGATATCGTGTATAATATTTTGGGATGAGGACGAAGGACGTTTGTGCTTTTGTTTTTTTTATATTACGAAGTTTACGAAAGATTATGTCAAATGTAGAAAAATTATGCCATACATACGGGCTGGAAGCAGTAAATAGTGTTTTCTCTATAATTTATTAATTTGATTTAACTGACAATTTCAGAAATGGTTTGAGAATACAGTTTTTACTTATTATATATTATTTTATATATTATGAATTCTATTTAAGTTTCAAATGTTCTCTCTGATGTGGCAGTACATAATACCGTTTCATAGAGATAAGTAAACAAGTTAGCTTCAAACAATTAAGTAAAACAAAGTTGACTTAACCTTAATGAACCGTATCCGAAGAAATATTTTTTTTTATTTAAAAGTAAAGTAAAGTAAATATAATAGCCTATAAATGTCCCACTGCTGGGTAAAGGCCTCGTCTGTACAGAGAGTATTATCGCATAGTCCACCACGCGGCTCCACAGCGGATTGGCGGACTTCACATATTATATTAAAAATATTTTATTTTTGCTATTATTTCGAAAATATGTATGTTTCCTCACGATGTTTTCCTTCAACGCTGAGCACGTGATAAGTCAGGTCGCTCGAGTATATTGAATTAAAAGAAAGCGCCCCAACACTTAGCTATCACGGGTCTATTAATTAATTTATTTAAACTTTATTGCTACACCTTAACTTAAGGGCAACAATGGTCGGAATGGCATTGTCTACCAGTCGACCTTTGCCATGGTGAAAAGCACATGGCAGGTGCTAACTGAAGGGTAAAAAAATGTTTAGAAAGTTGCCCTGAAACCAATATTTATAGACAAAATATATAAATAAATTAACATATTACGTGTAGATTATACAAATAGCTGTTTCGGGTGGGAATCGAAGCCATGATCGCAGTGAAAATATATTTGATTGATGCTTCAGTTGGCTGATTATACGATATTTTAACGTTTTCCTTCCAATCTAACACATAACCATAATCTAAAACAGTTTATGCTTATGTTACTCTACTTTAATAGGGTACTCATCCATTTCTTTATATGACCGTAAATATAGGTTTGTTTTTTCTAGGTCACTGTTTAGTCTCTACTTCTTACTCTGAAGTGACCTAAATAGAGCAATCAATATCGAACACAAGACGAAATTTGCGAATAGGCAAATTCGGAATACAAGCACAGCGATTACAACGCGTGCACAAGGTACACCAACGTTCTAGAGCTGGTCTCACCGCTCCCAGACGGCAATTAAAACAGTTACTCATAGTCCGTAGCTGACATTCCTCTCCATAGATGACGTATGCATGAGCAACTGCGCAGCCCTAACCAACGCAGAGGTCCGTGTCAAGTACGTGGGGTCTGGCTGTCTCATGAGTTCTTCTCATGCTTTAATAGTCTACGGACTGAAACCTAAAACATCAATCAATGTAGAGTAAGAAGTATTATCTCCCTTCCTTTATGTTAAAAAAGTATTGTAGAAGTCTAGTCGTATCCAAATCCCTCCAAAGATATAGACAGCTCATAACTTGGTATTGACGCATGAGAATAAAAATAATAAAGAAAAATAAAATTGTTCCTTACAAGTTTTGCAAATCGTTACGGTCATTACTACCATTTTTGTATGACTACTTCAAAAATTGTGAATAACGTAAAATTTTGATTGGCCTCTTTCATTTGTCTTCAAGGCGAACAAAACCTTTATTGAATTTGATGTTTCAATTACACGAACAAAATCTCTTCCGATAGTCACAAACTTATCTTGTTATTTATTATTGCCTAAACCTGTTCACACAATTATTACATATGTACATATTTTACTGTCAATACAACCACGGGGATGCAATTAATGATAATAATTTACGAATTCATAAATTAAATTTCCCTAATATATACGAATAATAAAACTTGAAAGTAATATAAATGCTTACATTTAACTGTATATCCGTGTTTCATTTTATATTAAATTTTTTCGAACTATTTCATTAATCTCGTATGGTCTAGTGGCTAGGATACCTGGGTTTCATCCAGGAGGCTCGGGTTCGATTCCCGGTAAGGGAAACTTTTAGAAATGATCCCACAACAATGTGGACTTTTTCAATTTTCGTTAATTAAATTTGAAAACTGCACAATACTTATTTATAAATATACACCTTTTAAAAAAAATTTATACGAAAGACATTAACCATTTCTACCCCGAAAATGTCCACAATATAAACATATTTTCAAGTAGCTCTTATCAATTGAAACTTGTTTTTTTTATATTTTTTGTTTAGAATTTATTTAAAGGCGTAGTTTATGATTTATACATCATGTTTAGAATTGATTTAAAGGCGTAGTTTATGATTTATACAATCATAAACTACGCCTTTAAATCAATTCTAAAACAATATTTTATTTCAATAAGAATGTCACTCTTCTCTAATATAGCATACCTTAAGTTTGTTAAAACATTAACTGTCTAGTTTTTGGTTATAGTTAGGGCATGCCCCCGTACAAAAGTGTTCGATCGACCTTTTATTATTTCCCCCTCATTACCCAGAGTCAATTATTTGTACGGGTGAAATGGTAAATTGGTTATTTTTATAATAAAACGAATAGCGCCTTTCAAAACGTATGAGCAAAACATGATTCTAAAGTTTTGTTGCTGCAGCTTAAAGATATATCTTGTCTGGGTACAATAAATATTTGAATATATATATATGCATGTATATAACTTAATATATGATTTGTATCCAATTATAATATTATTTTCATATATATTCTCTTTAATTAAAATTTTATTATTCTTGCATCTTTTGCTGCACCTACCATAAACTGTCACCACATCCTGGGTTGACTGGTAGAGAATGCCTTTGGGCATTAAGTCCGCCCTTTGTTACCTTGTTTTACTGAAGGTTGGCAATAAAGATTAAATAAATAAATAAAAAATAATTTATAAATTACAGAATATCGGATGACAGTAATATCAAAGTGATTCGAAATTTTTTTGGCAAACGATTTCAGTAATGTAATCTTATCATCATTTGGTAGAACAGAAAAAGCCGTAGTACAAGTGGGCAGGGCCGTCCACGGCCTCACAGAAGACCGGCGTGAAGTGGGTGTATTAAACTTTCGCGTTTCGTTGGTTATAGTAACCGGAGCACATTTTTTAGGGTTCCGTACCCAAAGGGAAAGCGGGATTCTACTACTCCGCTGTCTGTCTGACTGTCCGTCTCTCACCGGGCTGTATCTCATGAACCGTGATAGTTAGTCAGATGAAATTTTTACATAAATTATGTATTTCTGTTGCCCCTATAATAACATATACTAAAACGAAAAAAATTAAGTGGGGCTCCCATACAACAAATATGATTTTTTGCCTTTTTTATAGATAATAGTGCGGAACCCTTCGTATGCGAGTCCGAATCGCACTTAAAAGTAAAAAATCGCTTAATATTGGGTGAACCAACTGCTCGTTTGATGAATGATATGCATATTTACATTATTTTCTTTTTATCTAAAAAACTAAATTTAAGTCTTAAAAAGATTAACCAGCGCTTCCAAAAAACATGAGCAATTATTCAAAACATTTTAACTGCTATATGTGTGGAGTTAATACTGTTGATACTCACGTAGGCTAAAATAAGAATGTAATATATCTGTATGTTATATTGTAAACTGATATTTTTGTAAAAGAGCAACTATTGAGTTTCTTGGCGGTCTCTTCTCAATAGAAACTGATTTCCGAACCGGTGGTACCTTACGAACGCATATATAATTTCAAATTTTACAAAGAAATTAATACCGGTTCGGAAAGCAGTTTCTGTCGAGAAGAAACCAACAAGAAACTAGACAGTTGATCTTTTTTAAAAAGGTCAGTTTACAATATAATGGTACAGATATAAGTAGTCTTCGTTCTAGCCTACGTGAGTATCAACAGTATTAACTCCAAACATTGGCGTCGTCAAGATATTTCGCAATAGCCAACGTGAGTCTTTGTTTAGTTTTTATCGAGTTTATTATATCGCTAAATAGACTTGTCTGTACGAAATTCCTATTTGATAAAGAATAATGTGTTTTTGCAACATCAGTGAATGTGCCATTACCGTTGGCATCAACTTCTACAAAAGCTACAAATGCTTTAACTCTCGTATATATTCTTTAGATCAACTGTATTTTAGTATTGACATTTTCTTTTAGTTAATTACATATTTCACAATTGAAAGTACTTATGCGTTGATTACGACTTGACTGAGTTTCGATATTATTCTTTATCTATAGACGCCGCAGTGTTGTTTATGACTGATGTTTCTGTTAAGCTGATACGTTTCTGGTATATTCTGATTTTAACTAGTCGTAACTCAATGCACTAGTGCTGCGGAATTGTTTTCATTTCATAGGTACTTATATCGACTTCATATATTTCATGACATTGGCGGACACTTAAAGCTTACAAAAGTAATTTTCACGAGCTTTCTGATCGGTTGATGATGCGCTTTTAGTCCGAATGTTATATAAATCTTAGAGCACAGAATTCGTGGCAAAGCTAGTTTACACGACCCAAATAGAGTAAAGGATATTAATAAAGAAAAATTGGGTATTGTCGGGAAGTAGAGTTAGGGATAACTGACCTGAAGAACTTGAGGTTGTGTAAATTATCCGTGGTGGAACCGGTGCAGGATAGCATCAAAGTAACGTCGAACTCTATACCGTTAAATCGGTAGTTTTGGTATGGTAGTTCCGTATAGTTATCAAAAATTTCGAGACAGTTCGTCGAATACTCTGGTTGTAATCGCAGCAAATTACCAAATGACTCCTAATGCGACCATTCGTGAACATTATCGATGTATCTTAATCGATCGAATAAGGGGACTAAAGACTATCGGACCTTTCAGATGTCTAGTCT